GCGGGAGGCAACCAGTCAATATGTCTCTCTTGCATCAATGTTTCTCTCTCTCCCTCCCGCTCTATCTGAGGATAAACAGAAAAATATCCTCGGGTGAGGATTTAAAAAAAGAAATAAAAGTTCTCTGCACAGAGTAGGAGGAAGAACAAATTGATTTCTCCATTCTAATATATATTCAACTTCATTATGTCTCCAACACCCTGGCCCAGTCCTCCATCATCTCTTAGGTTATGCTAGTGGCCTCCTAGGCAGCTCCTCTTCCTATTGACTTTAGACTTGACTTTTCCCACAGTGTGGGATATTCTCTTGAGAGCCCACATTTCCTTCCACTTTGTCCATGACTATTCTCATAAAAAGTCAACCCCTCTGTGAAGCTTTCTCTGATCCTCTACCAACCAGATAGTTAATCATTGTCTCCTCAAGCTACTGCTGTTCCTGAAACAGTTTGATTAATTTATTGGTCCAGATTGAAAACGCTTCTTTATGTCTATTCCCGTAAACTCCCAAAAAGGGAGTACCATCTTCCTCATCTTTATTCCTCTGGCACTTAATTCAGCATTTAGGATACAGTAGGCATTAAGTCAATGTTTGTTTTGTCTAACTGAAGTGAGTAATTAAACATGAGTAATCTCCTAACTAGAAGAAATCAGAAAATAAAAAGTTAGTTCAAATCATCATTCAAAAAAACTTCCTATTTTTCTAAGTATTAAACACCAACTAAGACATTCAATTTTTTTATTCTTACTAATGGAAAAGTAAAAGGGTTGAATAAACCAAAAAAACTCAATAATACTTTATTTATTTATTTATTTGGTTATCCTCACCCGAGGATATTTTTCCATTGATTTTTTTTTTTTTTTTTTTAGAGAGAGTAGAAGGGAGGGCGGAAGGGGGAGAGGGAAAACAAGAAGGGGAGAGAGAAAAACATCGATATGAGAGACATATTGCCCTGGCCGGTTTGGCTCAGCGGTTAGAGCATCCACCTGCGGTCCAGAGAGACTCGGGTTTGGTTCCCCCTAAGGGCATGTACCTCGGTTGCAGTTTGTCCCCGGCCCTGGATGGTCTTGCGGGTGGCAGCCACTCGATGTGTCCCTTTCGCATCGATGTTTCTCTCTCTCTCTCTTCCTCTCTCTCCCTCCCCCTCTATCGGTACAAAAAATGGAAAAATGTCCTCAGGTGAGGATTAAAAAAAATGAGAGAGACATATTGACTGGTTTCCTCCCACAGGACCCTGACCAGGGCCGGGACAAACCTAACCGCAACTGAGGTACGTACCCTTGACTGGAATCGAACCCAAGACTCATTGGTCCGCGGGCAGATGCTCCAACCACTAAGCAAAACCAGCCAGGGCAAAACTTAATACTTTTAAATAAATTATATTCTAATAATTATATTTGAATATAAGTGTGCCCATGTCTCAGAATTTACTGTGAACACGATGATTAAATTATACTAGGAAGGGCTTACACAGGAAAAAAACTGTCTTTTCAAGTCATTCAGTACCAGGAAGAGATACACAACTGGACTGATAAAAAATAGACTATCCTTGCAGTAGAAGCAGCTAAGGGATGCAAAATAGATTTTGGCATGCAAAAGTGAGATTATTTAATGATATCAATAGCAAGTATCTGGAACTTTCACAAATTAGAGTAACTGTCTGGACAAAACTGAAAGCAATAGTTACCAATAAGATGACTGTGAGATCTACTTCACCATTAACAATTTTAACATTTTAGTACTGCTGTTAATATTACACCTTACCAAAATCAAAGAACTTTAAAATTCTCTGAGGCCTCAAGAAGCTTGTAAGGCTAGCCAAGTTATTAACACTAGGAAATTTTCTGGAGTCAGGGAGAAAAATTCTAAGGTTCTATAAGATAAAATATATTTTATCTTAAGTACATTAATAGATTGCTCTTTGCTTAGACCTAATTTACTGGTAATCTACATTATTATTATTATTTTTTTAATCCTCACCTGAGGACATTTTTGCATTTATCTTCAGATAGAGCGGGAGGGAGAGAGGGAGAAAGAGAAAGAAAGAGAGAGAAAGAGAGAAAGAGAAAGAGAGAGAAACATTGACTGGTTGCCACCCGCACAACCCCAACTGGGGCCGGGACGAACCTCAACAAAGGTACACGCCCTTAGCAGGAACCAAACCCAGGACTCTCTGGTCCACGGGCCCAATGCTCTAACCACTTAGCTAAACTGGACAGGACAACAAATTACTTTTTCTACAGTTGTTATATTCAAGAATTCTACTTTAGACAGATTAGATTCAATGTAATATATCTCAAAAACTGAAAACTTCAATTCCATAATTCTTATTAGCAAGTTTATAATATTCAAAACAATCATTTGAAATATTTTAAATGTGATATAAATAATTTTGATTTCACAGTGAGTAAGGCAACTGAAATTTAGTTAACATTAATCACAAAAGATCAGGTCCTATGTTGAGTACTTTAAGCACTAGTCGTTTACATCTCACATTCTAATCACCCCTTGACGTTGTATCCCTTTTTTTTCTGAGATGAAGAAACCAAGAGTTAAGTAAGGTCAAATAACTTGCCCCAAATCACCTAACTATTAAGTATCACAGCTGAGATTACAACCCAGAACTATCTGACTGTACATTCTGCTCTCTTTCTCTAAAGGAATTACAATGACCATGACCTTTATTTTATAATGAATTTTGTTAGATATCTACATAATGACTTTCTCAAAGGTTACATTAAAAAATCAGAATAAGAGCAAACACTGCTTTACCATTGTGTGTGTGTGTATATATAAAATCTAAGTTTTATCTAAAACATACTGTAATCCAACCACAAACAGCTGCCCTTCAGCTGCAATCCAGTGTCCCACAGTTCTCAAAAATATTACTAAAGTTTAATTCCTCGTGAACTTTCTTCATGTTAGATCCACAAGCCTTCTTTTAACAATGAAATGTTTGTCAGAATATTGAATCTCTTAAACAATAGTGTCACTATATAATGAATCTCATACTGCTTTTTTATTCTAAACTTCCTTGGGATTCAGGAATACAGTTCTCATATAACCTCTCACTCTTCGCTGTATATTGCTTTTGCAATCAGTTTCAATAGGCTATGTATATATTTCATTACAAACTGAAGTACATTTTGTCAGAACAAGCAGCAATAGCATTTTTTCACTTTTTTGTATTATCTAGAAACCCCTATGGACATAGGGTGTTTACTAAATGTTTAGGAAATACAGTATTTTAAATAGTTAGAGTTATCTGTGCATTTGAGTAAAACTGGATAAACCAAAGTCATCAAACCAAATTTGTATTGTACATCACTCTTTTACAACCCAAAACTTGGACAGCAACCAGAAGACACTATATATAGGAGCTCAGCAAACTCAATTAAAGCACAACTGTAACATTTCTAGCACCACATCCGAGTAGGTTTTTAATGTGTAACCTAGACTCAGAATCTAGTAAATGCTCTTTTCACCTCTAAAACATATATAAATTATATCACTAATAAACTACAGCTGTTAAAGAACTCAAATGCTAATTTTGAGCCCTGTGGGAATTTTGCTTCTTTTGTTAGGAAATTTACTAGACAATCTTTTCCCACATGTATTTTAAGACACTTTTCATGTGTATTATATATAATCAAGTTTCCAAACTATTGCACAAAAGTCAAAGCTTTATATATTTCTACACTAATATTCAAATCCTATCTGCTGAAAAAATGTCCCAATTCAGTGATCTAATTAGTTGCCATTTCTATTAAGCCCTTTTATATTTTATAAACTCTTCTGCCTGTAAAAGGACCTAGTTCACTCAAAACCAAGTCCCTGAACTTTCAGAATAAAATACTGTTACAAAAGTGTACTCTGGTAGCTAAATGAAAAGTAGCCTCTTAGTTTATAAAACAGTAATCCTACCTCATGACATACAGAATAAAACAAATGAGAGAACGCACTATGCTTTAAATACAGAAATACAGAGATGAGCCTCTACAATGAACTCGTGTCTAATACCCTAGACAACAGTATGTCAAGTACAACATAGGTTAAAATTTTATATAGAATGTTTGCGACTTTCTTTTTTATTTTCAACTTCCCAAAGTGTTTTTCAGATCTCAAAAAGGAAACTGATTCTGTACAGCTGAACCTGGCTGCCCTCTGAGTACGTTACGGCCGTGTGCAATAAGCCTTGTTCACCACGAGAAGCCCAGATCTTGTTTACCGTGTGAGAGATCAGGAAAAGCTAGTGCACAATGACTAAATCTCCGGCGGGATACTGTCGAATAAACTCCAGTTCGGTGACGGATAGGAGACGCACGGGCCAGTAACCGGATTAGGTGTTTTAAAAATACCACCGGGGCTCGCGCAGTTCCGAAGGTGTAAACAAACCCGAGGCCACCGCAGAAGGTAAACAATGAACCTGCGGCGAGGGCGAGGGGGCGGTCTGCGCCGAGCCCGCTGCCGCGGCCGGCGGGGACGGGCAGGCAGGAGGGAAACAGCGCCAATCAGACGCGGGGCGACGACCGCGGCTCTCGGTCTCAGCTCGAGCGAGCGACGCACGGTCCCCAGGGCGGTGGGCCAGCAGCACAGGCAGCCGGGACCGAGCAGGTCCTGCCTCTGCTCTGGGGGCCGGGGAAGGCAGGATGTGGTCGCTCTTCCCTCAGACATCCTCCCGCAACCTAAATAACAGCCTCCAGCTCCCTCCGGCCGCCCCGGGATTCGGCTGCACCAACTCCGGCACCCCGGGAAGCCGAGGGGGGCCGGCGGCGCCGACTCCCGCGCAGGGCTCCCCGGCACCCACCGCACCCCAGGCCCGGGCAGCGCTCGGGGCGAGCGGAGCAGGCACCACCGGGAAGGGGGATGGGTCCGGGGAGGCGGCCCCGGGCTCGGCTCCCGCACCCCCGCCGGCCCCGCCGCGGTCCGCCCCGGGCCCCCGCCCCCGGCCCCCGCCCCTCCCCAGCACCGCACCCTCGCCCGGCCCGCGCCGCCCGCGTTACCTCGGGTCAGATCCAACGGGACGTTCTCCTCGCCGCTGTCATTCCGCCCTGCGCGAAACAGACACACAGCCCCAGTTAGGATTCGCGGGCAGGCCAGCGGCGGCAGCCCCGGCTCCGGCCCGCGCCCCGGCGTGCGCCCGCGGCCCGGGGCCCGGGGCGGCAGGGCCAGGGGTGCCGGCCGCGGGGCGGCGGGGGTGAGGGCTACCGCGGGCTTACCTCGTATTCGGAGGTTCTTCAGCGAGCGGCCGCGGCCGATCGCCGCCATATTGACGGGTTTCAGTCACAACACCGGAAACCTCGCCCAATCGCGCGAGAACCCCTTCCCCTCCCCGCGCGCCGCGCCCGCCCCCCGCGGCATCTTCCCCGCCCCTTGGCGGCGGCGGCGGCAGGGGCGGCGGCTCGCTCGTAGGCGCCCGGGGATCTCGGGCTGATCGGAGTCTGGACGCAACTTGTGGCTCGTGTTCCTTCCCTCCGGCGGCCGGGGGTTGCGGCGACGCGTCCGGCCCTCCGGGAGCGGCTCTGCCGGGAGCGGGCCTGTCCCACGAGGGAAATCCCATTGATGCGAGTTTACGGCGCGGGGGACGCTTCCCCTCCGGCCGTCGCGGAAACCGTGGCCGCAGCCGAGGCGGGCTGGGAGGAGGCCGGGATGTGGCCGGCTGGCCACCTGCTGAAACCATCCTGCGTGACTCCTGCGTGCTTGCAAGCGCCGCGATGGGATAGCCCGCCCGCCAGCGCCACACCTTCGTCGGCAATTACAACGATTTCTATTACAGACACAAACAAAGCGCAGCGCACAGTCTAATCAGTTCCCTTCCGAAAGTCGCTTTGCTCAGTCGAGTGAACACGTAACAAAGTTTATTTTCCACCCTCGCTCTGACCTCCGTGCTAAGCGGCCTTGCGTTTGATCTGCAAAGCCACGCGCGGCGGGGGCTACGCGCGTGGAAGTGGCCGGGGGATCTGGCTGGAGTGCAGAGCGGTGGTCCCGCGCGGTGGGTGGGTCGGTCCGGCCCGCCGACGCCTGGAGGCCCCGGAGAGGGTTTCTCTCTGCAGGAACCCACAGGGCTGCGGAGGGCTGTGTCCGGGTTTTCTGTCTGTGTAGCTGCTGGAACAGTGGCTACTATGATGATGTGGATTAATATTTTTAATGTGCAAGCTTAACAATTGTTAACGTTGGAGAGTTGGATTCTAGAAACTGCTTTAGCTCATTAATATACATACACCTGGCCCCTGGCCCATCAACTTTTTCTTAAACTAGATTAACTTTAAAGACAGGATGAGCGTTTTGTTGCCTCCTATTCCTCAACTCGTGTCTTTTTATTCCTGAGAATGGAAGTTAATTGATAGTGGAAATCTTGCCTTAACCATCTCTGTTTCCCAGCATCCAGTTAATGCAGTGCCCGGCAAAAATAAATGTTCAGTATATACTCAGTTGGTTGAGCAAATTCTTTGTTGCAATCCCCTTCTTGCTTAAAAAAGAAAAAAAGCATAAAAAGCAAATTGTAGATACTAACTGCAATCGTTAATAATAGTGAACCACTGGAAACACTTAAATGATCAAAGGTAGGGATTATACAGATTATTGCAGCCATTAAAAATAATGAAGTAGGTCTAGTATACAGGAAATAATCATGATATTAAATCAAGCAAGAGATTACAAATTCCCATTTTTATAAATGTTAAAAAACATAACAAATTAAAAGTATACTTTATAAAATACTTTACATATCTGTATAGTTAGCAGAGTCTTAGAAGATATACATCAAAATGTTAACTGATTTTTCCCCCTTGGTAGTGGAATTACATACATAAGAGTTTTTGTTCTTGTTTGCTTGTCTGTGATTTTAAAATGTCCTACAATTAATATATGTCAATTGTAAAATAAATAAACTTTAAAAAAATAAAAGCAGTATTGAATAGTATCATCAGGAAAATAAAATAAGAACACTACTTCCTTAGGATACTATCCTCTGTATATTTCAGGTCCTTTTCTTACTAGATATGCAATCAGATATCTGATGCTGATATTGCACTTTGAGTCAATGATGCAACACAATGAGTACTTTTAAAAAATGTCTCCTGACATCACCAGTCATAATTTTAATAACAAATTTGCTCCCTCTTTTGTAGCTTTTAAGTCTTGTTGCAAATGATTTAGTCTAGTTACAGTCTAAGTCAAAAATCACAAAACGTGAGGTCTGGCTAGATCATTAAAAAATTTGTGTTTCATCCCTTCTATATTACTACATTCCAGCATTTTAGAAGGTTGAAATCTGTCAATGGAAATTCTACCAGATTCTTAAAATTGTTCCAATTTTTAAACTGTTTTTCTTTATCTATTCCAAATTAACTTCTTCCTAATACAATTTAACTTTATTTTTCCCTTTCAGGCTTTCATGAAAGTTGAGTACGATTGATCCACTTTGACATTACTTAGGGTACAGGAGAGCCTGAATTCAGTAGCCTTTCATCTTAATAACTCTATGTTCCTGTTTAAAGATCATTATTCAGTTACTCCATCTCTTCCAGAAGAAAAAAAAATATCACTCTCCAATCTTACAATTAAACTAGAATTTCCTCTGTTGCTGTTTCAGTAATTTGAATGTCTGTCTTCTCCACATTTTTCTCTTAAGATGAATGGCATTTCTGGTAAAAAGAACTAGTACTTAGTGTTTGCAAATGACACAACTAAGAATCAGGAGTTTAGGTAAATGTTAGTAGGAATACATTTCACAATGTTGTGCTAGCTTTTTAAACAATAGCCCTAACTTATTGATTGTAGTCCACTTGTTATTTGTTAAAATCTCTAAGTTATCCTCCATACTTGCCCAATTCTAGCCATTCATCTTTTTGAAACTTGTTTTTCTTCCTTTTTTATTTGAGCCCACCCCTGTACCTTATTCATTTTGTTTACTTCTTACTACTTCTCAAATTTTCCAGGGTCATTTTTATTCTAATCTGGTCATTGAGAATGTGACTTCCTCTTTTTAGTTTTCATTTCCCAACTAGGTTTCATTTTCTGCGTGAATGAATGTTTTCTCATAGTGTTAGTCATTGATAAAAAATGTTATATGAGATTAGGTCCAAGACCACACCTCTAAGACATAACTGCTTGATTCAGAAGATACAATGTCTCTACTGATAGTCACTCTGTGTTTCATTTTCTGTCCTATTGCACACAGTTAATAATTCCAGTTCAGAAGCCAAATTCTATTGATTTTAGATACAGTGGTAACGTTGAACAGAAACAACAAAGTCTTGCCAAAATCTTAGTTCCCTTTATCTATCTGCCTTGTTATTACATAGGCCATGTGAAGATAATAAAGCAAGTCAAAACCCACATTTGTTCAGTCTCTTTTTCTGATACTCTCTCTTCATGGTTAAACCACACATTTAACATCTAGATAAAGGCCATGAAAATGACAGGCAATGGGCTCAATTCAACAAATGTTACAATCCTACACAGGGTTGTTTATGAAAATTCAGCCTTGGTCACAGCAGGAAGTAAACTTTTGGTATTGTTCTCCTTTAAATTTTATTTAAAAAAAAAAAAAAAGTAAGGTGTAAAGGCCCTATCTGAACACAGTTTTAAATGAAGACAAAGCCATGTTTGTGAAAGAAAATACATACATTTATAAAATAAAATCTGGAAGGATATGCACTGAAACTTCAACAGTGATTTTCTTTGGTTGGTAGAATTTTGAGTGATTTTTTAATCTTTCCTTTTCCCATTTTTATTGTCCTAAAACAAATTTTTACTTGTGTAATTTTTTAAGGAAAATATTTTAGAGAAATTTTGTTGGTGATCCTAAACCACAATTATATATATTTGATTATAATGATTTGTTATGTAATGGACCTATCAAAATTGTTTGCGCATCTCATTTAAACAATTGTCTACATATTTCAATGCATGTATATTTATTTACCTTTTTATTAACTAAAACATAAAGATGAAATAAAATGGTTAAAAATAATTTTAATGTTATGTTACTAACGGCACAAATAAAAGCAATAGGATTACATATATTTCATTACTTTTTAAATTTCTTGTTAAATACTTTGTGATACAACAACTCAAAAGTCTAATTCCATGAAACGTTTATTTGGATGTTGGAATTTAGTAGCTGAAACCTCACAGAATACAAATTAAAAATGGGAGAATTACTCTGTTGACTGCAGTTTCTAAGTCATAACATTTGTTTTTCAGTTTGTTTTTTAGGTAATTTGGCTAATAAACCTCTATCTTTCTTCATGTCAATCTGTTTTCATAGCCCTGGAAACCATAAACATTAAAAAAAAATTTTAAAAATGGTTTTAAAACTCTTAAAGTATTTTAAGCATGTTAGAAAAATGTTTCTATGATTTTTAAGTGTGTAAATATTATAAAGTGACACATTTATATTTTTAATTGTTATGGAAATAAAATCACAAAACTGTGGAAATGTATCTAAATATCTATTTTCTAAATGCTCTGTAGCACATTTCTTTTGATAAGTAATAATTTTGTTATTGTTATCACATTTACTTTGAAGGGAAAGATTAATTTTTTATTATTATTGATTTTAGAGAGAGAAGAAGGGAGAGGGGAGAGAGAGACAAAAACCTCAATAAAAGGGAACATCGACTGGCCACCTCCGGCATGCCCCCCATTGGGGACTTGGCCCACAACCTGGGCATGTGCCCTGACCGGAACCGAACCAGCAGCCTCCTGGTGCATGGATTGATGCTCAACCACTGAGCTACACCAGCCAGGCAAGATTAATATTTTTTAAAATATCTGATGGCTAACATGAGACTGGAAGCTACCAGTCATCATAAAAAAAAAGTTTGCTACTAAATAAATAGCAAAGATTTGCACGTACAAAAGATTTTCATAGTCACTCCCCTTCTCTTTTCAAAGTGTGTAAAAATTAAACTGTATTTTAAAGGTTATTTATTATATAAAACTATCACATGTGGTACTGTCTCTGTTCTGTGAATCCGTAATTCTTAAATTTCATCTAAGCAACTGCTCATTGATTTTTCATAAAACATCCCTTTTATTAAATAAGCTGTTTACTGATAACGATACACATTCTTTGGTACATTTTTTACTTTGGTGGCACAGAAGAAAAGTATTTTTTTGTATATCTCATTCCTGAACAGAATTTAGCCAACACAATAAGCTGAGACACGTGTAGAAGCTTCTATTTTCTATCTAACTGTACAGGAAAAGTTCTATAATACCTATTTGTACATGTACCTTTTTCTTCAAATCTTCAGCTTTTTCCTTTTCTTTTCCTGTTTG